ACCTTCCTCCCACAACTATGTGGCTCCAACACCACGAGAAGACCCTTCATGCAGAAACTCTTCCCTAGGATGGATGTAGCTTACGGTCATTGCAATGCTTCTAGCCCTCTAGGCAGCCTTGTGCAGAGGGCCTAGGCCCTTTCTTTCCTGAAATGGAGACAGTAGGGTCGAATCTCAGGAGGCCATCCACCAGGCTAGAAGCAATGCCCAATTCCAGCAGACCCAATTTGCAACTAGGGCTCAGAACTTTTATAGTACGTCCTCATACTCCCTCCTCCCAGCAAGCTGGCCTACTTCACATCCATATTCCATAAAGATGTTATACAAGAAATGGGAAATGATTCCTCATTTAATTGTTACTTTCTAAGACTCAATCAGAAGAATGGAGACCTAGTTATTATTGACTGGACTAGCATATCATACATAGAGAGACAAGATTAATAAAACAAAATGGTCTTCTGGGTATGTGTTATTTGAGTTACATAGTACATTTCAAGCTCGAACATTTTTCCAAGAGGTACAATTCATAAAAGAAAATTCTTTTTTTAAAATTATAGTTTACCCAATATAAAAAAATTCTTATTATAGGGTGATTCCTGCTTTATGTTTTTATTTCAAACTATATCAGATTTTTAAAGTCTTATTTCTCTTAAACTTTCCATACCATTCTCAGTGACAAGCCCACCGTCAAGTGTTAGAAGTTTAGAAATAGTTGCACTTTAAAATATATAGAATCATCCTGAGAATCAATTTAAATGACAGAAACATGCTTTCAGGAACAGAAATATCTTTTCAAATGCAAGATAATGGCATATTATATACAACCTCTATTAATATAACAATTATTGCTATTATATTTATTGGGTTGTATTGTTTCTTAAACCGATTGGTATTTTGTTACTGATAATATTAAAACAATAAATAACGAGACGCAGCATTTTATAGCAGGAGAAGAGCAGACTTAGGTTCAAGTTCCTGCTGTGCCAGGTACTACCTGGGTGAGTGTGGGCACATTAATTTACTGTGACCTTGTTTCCTCATTTATTGAATGGGGATACCAATACTTTGCTTGTAGAGATGTATAAGGTGTATAATTATCTACTTAAAGTAACTTGTACAATGCCTGATATATAATGAACTGTCACTGAATGGTTACTGTGGCTGTTATTATTGTTAATAGTCCTATGACTAATGAAGACACTGACTTTGTTGGAAATCAATTACCTTATGGAGACTGAACATGAAGGGAAGACAATAGAAGTCTTTAAAAAGCCTTCTAACCTTCTGACCATTTGGCCAGGGAACCTGAGTTACCATCCTCACTTCATAAATGCAAAGTAGACTGTATAAAAGAAAAAAAGACTCTAATTTATTCCCTCAAAGTATTCATCAAATGAGGTAGGATTTCTGGGAAAGATTAAGAGCTTATATTTTTTATTGGACTTATTTCCCACAAAATTAGTAAAGGATAAAAGGAGGGGAAGTGCAGAAGCGTACTATTTCTGTTTTATCTGTAACCTGTGATTATAAATCTTCCTGGGACATCATTAATTATAGTGATGCCATTCACAATGCTGCCATTCAGGCCAATTAGAATTTTTACCCAAAATTTCATGCTTGGGGTTTAGAAATTGGCAGCTGAATTTTTGTATGAGGCTGAAACTTGAAGGCTATAATGGAGGGAGAACATCTTTAAATTAGTTGCTATAGACTGACTGTTCGTGTCCCTTCCAAATTCATATGTTGGAATCCTACCCCCCAAGGTGGTGGTAGCTGTAGGTGGGGCCTTGGGTTGGTAATTAGGTCATGAAGGTGGAGCTCTCATGAAGTTAGTGTCCTTATAAGAGACACCCCAGAGAGCTTTCTCACCCTCTTCACTTTGTGAGGATAAAATGAGAAAAGGGCCATCTGCAGCTCAGAAGAGGGCTCTCACCAGAACTCAAGTGTGCTGGCACCCTGATCTTGACTTCCAGCTTCCAGAACTGTGAGAAATAAATTTCTATTGTTTATAAGGCACTGTGGTGGCTATGGTGTTCTGTTAGCCCAAACTGACAAAGACAGGCACTGTGCAGAGAGAGCCCAGAAACCTATGAGGTGTTTCCCCAAAACTTCAAGGCTGAGGGGTGAGCTTTACATACACAGGATGAGATGACCAGAGACATGCCAGTCAGCAGCTGCTTTAGTGTTGGGAGCAGAACAGAGATGCTTGGGATCAGACAGTACTGGGGACATTGGAGTGCTGAACATTCCACTGTGGAGAGATCTTTTTAACACTTTGTATAACACTCCTGGAATCCAGCTGATACATCAGAAAGTCTGCACTCTAGCAGAAAGAACCATATCTTATAGTTAGGCCTGCACTAGACTCACGTTAACAAAGTCTACAACGAAGGCTGACAAAGTTTGGGAGAGACAGAGTTTGGAAGTTGGGACCTACCAAGGTAGATGGGCTTTAAGAACATCTTGGGCTTTCCACATATCTGCACTAGCAAAGTATATCACTAAGTCTGCACAAGTTTGAGGTAATCGCCCCATAATTAAACTGCCTACTAAAATAAGAATCAATAGTCTTTAGAGAAAGATCATAGAATCCATGTTCTTATAGGGCATTATTAAATATCTAGTATTCAATAATAAAAAGCACTAGACATAGAAACAGGAAAATACAGCGTATAGTTATGAAAACATGTAGATAGGAGAAGCAGAAATGGCACTGATGTTGGATATAACATATATAGACTTTAAGGCAGCTATTGTAAATATTTTCAAAGAAATAAAGATATAGTCAAAGGGGATAGGAAAATAGAGCCCTAATGAGTAAACAAATAGGGAATCTCAGCAGTCATGTGAAAACTAATGAAAAAGACAACATGGAAATTTTAGAACTGAATAATATGTTAACTGAAATGGAAGATTCACTGGATGGTGGGAGTGTAGACTGGTGTGGCATTCTGGATAGCAACTTGGAATTATTTGGTCAAACTAAGAATATTCATACTCCTTGATGTAGTTTCTCTTCTGTTCGTCACACCCTATATGGAAAATTTAAAAACTTAAGCACACACTGGGGAAGATATTTGTAACACATGTAATATAGATGAAGAATTAGCATCCAGGATATATAAAGAACTCCTATAAATCAGTGAGAAAGAGAGAGACAGAGAGAGCAAGAGAGCAAGAGAGAGTGAGTGAGAGACCATCTAATAAAATAGGAAGAGAACTAGTAGGCAGTTCACAAAGAGAACATGGCAAGACTAATAAAACCATGAAAAGATGCTGAATCTCAATAGTAAGAAGAGATGCAAAGTAAATCCACAATGAGATACTTGGACTACATACACCCAAATATACAAACATTAAACACCTAAACAATACCAAATGTTGGTGAAGATGTGGGAAAATAAGAACTCTTATACACTCTCGGCAGGAACATAAATTGGTACAACTACTTTGGAAAACGGTGTGGCATCACTAATTAAAATCCCATGTGCAAAACCTAATACCGAGTCAATCCACTCCCACTGGAGCATGCATGCGCTCTAGTAGACATGTATTAGAATGTTCATAACAACACGTGAATAATAGCTAAAAATGGAATCAGTGCAAGTGACCATCAATAGTTAAAAGAATAAATAAATAAATACTCATATATTGGAGTACTAGCCAACAATGGAAAAAATCTGCTATACAGCATCAATATTGGGTGAGTCTCACAACATAATAGTAAATGACAGAAGCAAGTCACAGGAAAACACGAGTAGTGTTAATTTCACTGATAAAGCATCAGTAGCAGGAAACAAAAACGTCTAGTTTAGGAATGCATACTTGAATAGCAAAAGTACTTCGAAAGAGAAGGGAATTATTGTAACAAAAGTCAGGGTAGCAGTTACTTCCAGGGCAGGGAAGGCAATGCAATGGCTGGGGGCATTTCTAAGGTTCTAGTAATGCTTTATTTCTTAATCTAGGTATTAGTTGCACAGTGATTTGCTTTATTGTTTAAGATGAACGTGTTTTATACATTTCTGTATGTGTAATATATTTCACACTAAAAATGATTTTTAAAATGACTGGATTGGGCCAATCTCTTCGGTTCTTTTAATCTTTGATGGTTTACGGCCCAAGCCCTTCCCAACTGGATTTATTGTTGGCCCTGCATTGACAGTTCAATTTAAGCATACACAGTGGATTAGGGAACCTTGAAGAGAGAGGGGGATGCACTAATAGAATCATAGAGTAGGAGTCTAGGAAGAGGAACATGATGATCTGATTCAAGCCCCAATTGTCAGGGACGCAATTGGGATTTTACATGAAAGGTCCTGAGTTCCAGTCCTGGTTCTCTCTTCAACTTGGGCAAGCCTCTTCTCTAATCCTCAATTTCCTCATGCTGGCTTTGTAAACTGTACTGTGAAATTCAAATAGAAAACCAACATTAAAAAAAAAAAAAAAAAGAAAACCAACATTAATTATTATTCTTTTACAGTTGTGGAAACTGAGGCCTCACTGGGACTCCAGTAGCCCAAGGTGTCATCGCCACGTTGGAACTCAGGGCTCCTGAGTCCAGCTCCCTGACCTCGGCACTGTCCCACTACACAAACCCCAGGCTATTCTCGCTTTTGTCCAGCTGTGCGCCCATCTTTTGATGTCACAGAACAGCCCCGCCCCACCCCACTCCTTCGGAAGCCACGCCTCCTCGCGTGGTCCCGCCTCAGGCGTTCTCTGAGCCCCGCCCCTAGCCGCTCGCCGAGGAGTGGCGGCTCCCGCGCGTCCCCGTCCGGCCTCTCTTCCGGCCCCGCCCCTCTTGGCTGCCATGACAACGAGTCCACGCCCCGCGCACAGCTTCTGCTCCGGCGGGACCCAGGCTGGACCGCGGGCCCCGGCCTGGGGGCCACAGCTGCCACCGCCGCCACCTCGTCTCCTCCCCGTCCCCGCCCCGCCCCGCGTCTCCTCGCCTCACTCGGGCCCGCGGCCGGGGTCCGTCCCCGCCGCCCCACCCCGCGCGGATGCCGAAGGTGAAGGCGCTGCAGTGCGCTCTGGCGCTGGAGATCCGCTCCGTGAGTACCGGTCGCCCCCACAACCCCCGCCGCCTGGGTGTCACCGAGTCTCCGGCGTTTACTCGGGGACGCTTCCCTCGTTCGTCTCCTTGAAGCCCGAGTCACCTCAAAAGCTACGTTAGCCTGTGAATCATCCCTCGGGAGCCTTGACCCGTGGCCCCTGGGTCTCCTCCCTCTGCAAAATCCTGAACGCCCTCCCACTCCAGCCACGCAGAGCTCTGACCGTCCCCACCCCCACCTCCGTTCTCCTCGCTGTATCCCAGCTTCCAGTTGGGGTTCCTTCAGATCATTTACAAACCACTTCCTCTTCCAAAGGCCTCCTCGCCCTGCCCCTAACTTTCCAGTGGATCGGGTGGTAGGCTTCTCTTTACATTCCACTTCTCTTAGAAAGAGTATTACTGGCCCCCTCTCTCCCCAGTCTCCAAGGGGGTACGTTTCCTCTCAAATCACGGCGGGCAGGTTCTTTCGGACAAATTTCAAGCTTCTGATTCGTGAAGGGGCCTTCACTCTCAGTCTTCAGTGTGGAATCCTCACACCCAGCAACCGAACTGTGTCAGCACTGCACAAAGCACCCTGCCTTGTTCTCAGAAATCATTTCAGGACCCTCCTGGCTGTGAGAGGGATCCCTTATCCCTTATCCTTCCTGTCACGCCAAGAAACGCAACAGCTTTTAACAGAGAAACTGCTCACTCTGTGAACTTGCTGGAGAGGAGCAGCAACCCCACCCCCAGTCACTCTCCAGATTGGCTCGAGAGGATCCTGTCCCCCAACCTGCTGTGGAAATCCAGCTGAGGCATTGAACCCCCTTGTGCTTCCTCAGGGGAAGTGGTTGGATCTCTCCATGGTATGAGAAAACTCCATCCCTTTTAATCATCTCGGAAGACCCTTCCGCAGGTTTTAAAACTACTTCCTCTTCATTCTTTACAGAGTCCTCTCGTTTTCGTCTTCAGATGAAAGCTCCAGCTTGTCTCTTTTAGAGGAAATCCCAGAGAGCCTTTCCATACCCCCATTGTAGACCTGCAAGCAGCTTGGAACCAGAATTCCCCACTCGGCCCCCTTTCTCTCCTTCCACCCCTCCTAAGCCCTCTTGTGTCTCAACTCTGATCTCCCAGCAACACTGGGGGCAGGTATGTGTATGTGAGTGTCTTTAAATATCCCAACACCAGGCTTCTGAGTGCTGCCCGGAGAAGTCCTCCCCACTTGCTTCCTGCACACCCTGCACACCCTGCCTGCAGGCCTCTCTCTGGACTTAACCCACCCTTGGCCACCCCTGCTCTCCTGGCTGTCCTTCCTCGAATTAGAATGAGGCCTCTGCAACACTGTCCCTGAAACTCCAAGTCACAAGACTCTTCTAGGTCTTTTGTTAGGTCTTAAAGAAGGCAAGCCTGGGTAGGGCAAAGTGTGAGGCAGAGGGTGGAGGGAAAGAAAGTTTCTGGCACTCTTGGTTTATCTAAGCCTGCAGAGATTTTACTTTGCTGTGCGGGAAGCCACAGCCCTAGCTTCAGATGTTTTCATCCCACAGCTGCCAAAGTCGAGCAACTTTTTTGTAAAGTAAGATTCCTTTAGCAAAAGAATATAAGAAGCGTCCTAGCTTCCTAAACCGCTCGCTTGGCCGTGCAGCCTCACCAGACTTTGTTACTGGCTGCTGCTTCCTCTGCTGCTAACCAATGGGGTGTAGATGCCCAGCGAGTGCAGTTGCACCACCGACTGGCTGCTGCTCCCCTTCCTTTGACAGTACCCATCTTTAGGAGGAAGTACTTTGTTGTGACTGATTACTGCCTGAAGGAGTTGCAGAAATATATTTAATTTCAGTACCCTTTCTTTCTTGGTATTGGTTGTACTGCAGGAGGTGAATGACTGTGTAACGGACCTTGTGTTCATTGAGGCTAAAGAAATTAGGCAGGTGGAAACATCCCTATGTAACTTTTTTCATCAAACACTTGAGTCACAGAATTTTACAGTTCCAAAGATCCCAGATATCATTCGATTTATTCCTTTGTACAGGTGAAGCTTAGCATGGCTAGTTATTTGTTTACAGTTGCACAACTATTTAGGGGCAGATCTGCAACAAGATGCTAATTTTTCTGACCAGCAAAAAGCTATTAAATAGCTCTGATGCTTAGAAGGAGAAAAAATGATCATTAGCAACCATTCAAGTTAAGCTTGATTAATTGGGCTTTGATTGAAAAGATGAATTATATGACCAGAGATATTTTTAACATCTTTTACATTTTAATTTCTTCTTTTCAACTTAATTTTTTATGTTTACATGGTATAAAAGTCAAGACCCATAAAATGATATACTCAGAGCAGTTTCACATCCAGCCCTGTCTCCTCAAACCTACTTCCCATCCATACTCATCTGCTGTAGGTAATCATTTTTACTGGTTTCAGATTTATTCTTCTAGTATCTCCTTTTATAATATAACCAAACAGATACACATACATATACACATACACACATACCATTCCCCTCACATATATTTTTTTCTTTGGTTCTTAATATAGTAGGTAGCATATTACATAAACTATTCTGCACATTTGCTTTTTTTTCCTTCACGTAATATATCTCAGAGATCACTCTGTTATCTATAAAAGTTGTCATCTTTACTTTCCAGCTTTTTATTGACATTTTTCAAGGATACAGGGTAGTTGAAAGAATAGTACAATGAAAACCTATGCCACGGCCTATGAACATTAATTTGATTTATCTGTACGTATGTGTGTGTATGTATAAAATAAATGTGGCTCTTTTGCTGAAAATTTGGAAGTAAATTGTTGGTATCATGGTACGCCACTCCTAATCACTTCAACATCTTCTAAAAACAAGGACGTTGTTCTACATGACCACCATGCTATTATCTATCACACCTAAAACAATGAGTGACAATTTCTTAATATCTAGCCCATATTCAAGTCTTCCCAGTTGTCCCAAAAATAACTTGCATAGTTAATTTTTAAAAACCAGCATCCAATCAAGGTTTACATGTTACATTTGGTTGTTAGGTCTTTTAAGTCCATTTTAGTATAGAACTGTTCTACTTTTTCATTCCCCATGATCTTTCCTTTCTTCCCCTCTAGTGGATTCAGATAAATGTATACACTCATGTAATCATATTTGGGTCAAGATTTAGAATACTTCTATCAAGCCATGAAATTCCCTTGTGCCCGTCAAGCCCCCTGCAGAGGGAACTACTATTCTGATTTCTGTTACTATAGATGAGTTTGCCAGTACGTGAACTTCGTATTAAATGGAGCCATATAGTTTGTAAATTTTGTGTCTGGCTTCTTTTGCTCAGCATATTTTTGAGATTCATCCATGTGACTGTGTGTATCAGTAGTTTGTTCCTTTATATTGAGGAGTTGTATTCTATTGTATGTGTATACTGCAACATTTTTTAGCCATTCTTTTTACTGATGATTATTTGGATTGTTACCAGGTGGTGGTTGTCATGGATAAATCTATGAACATTCATTCTTGTAAAAATCTTTCTGTGCACATTACCTTTTGAAGAGCCCATACTCAGATATTGAATATCCCATGTTGTGTTATTGTCTGAATTGTTTCCTTTTGTGGTGACATTTAATTTGTTCCCAGATCCTATAAACTGGAAATTAGATGTTTTATCTTTCCTTGTCTTTTGAAAGTGTGAAACTACATTCTCCTCTTCCCCCACCCCCTCCACAAAGTGTTTTTTTTGCTGCAGTCTTGTATTAGTAGCAACCTCATGTTTAATACGGTGGTAATATGAGAGCAAGAACATAGTAAACATGAAAGGTTTTGGTGTATAACACATCTTATGTTGCTCCACAGAGCCGTATGACTAGAGAGAAAATATATTGCTGGAAAGAAAGTGTGACTTTTCTCAGTGAATTTTTGGAGAATGGTATAATAGGCCAAGTAACTTGTTTTTAAAGAACAGCAAAATAATTATATTTCCCAACAGTTACATTTTTAATAGTTGAAACATCCTTTCTATGATATAGGAAGTATTTGTGCTGCTGCTTCTGTCTACCTTCTTTTTGTTATTTAGTAGTTCAATTTTCATGAGATTATTTGGGAGAAGGGAAGAAATTGGAGAGTGAAAAATAAAGCCCAATGCCTGGGCAGTGAAACCAGCCAGTTTGCTTTACGTGAATAGTGTCAGTTTGGGGTTAGTTTATATATTATATATAATATATATGTTATATCTATATTATATTATATTATATTATATTATATTATATTATATTATATTATATATTATATATATATATTTCTTCTCTGTATTCTCTTCACCGCACTCAAATTATAGAGAACATTGGGGCAAACAGATTTGGGTCCTTCCTTCTCAATCGCTACTTATCTAAACATTTGTGATCCTCATCTAAGTTTCTGTGGAGTGGTGTCTCACAATTGTGCTACAGTTGGGGGAAATTTCCCTGGAATATAGACTTTTAAAAACTTTAAGTAAGAAATACTTCAAACTTACAGGAAAAATAAAACTGAATACTATGATTCCACCCTCTCCACACCCTGATTTAACAAATGCTACATTTTACATGTTTGCTGCAGATTTCATTTTTAAGAAATAAAATGTTACAGATATAGTTAAGGCCCCCTTTGTATATCTTTCTGACTCCTGTTTTTCTCCTTCCCTTCCTAAAGGTAACGTAATCAATATCCTGAAGTTGGAGCGTATTCTTTTGATTCTGGTTTTGTACTTTTACTATATATTTGTGTATGTCTATGTGCTGCTTATACTATTGTTTTGTTTTAAAACTTTACACAAATGGTATTTTACTATGTATCCTGCATACCTGTTTTTTCCAGTTCCGTTTTTAAAATTTGTCAGTGTTGATTCTTTCAGATCAAGTTCATTTCCTTAATTGCTATATAATACTGTTTATTTTTATGATGGTGATTAATTTTTCTTCCTTTATTAATAGACTTTTTAAAATTTTATTATTGGGTGCCTGGGTGGCTCAGTTGGTAAAGCGTCTGACTTCGGCTCAGGTGA